ATATAGAAATAGACTACCACTTTGGAGGAGAAAAGGGGCACGACCCCTCCAAAGTGGCCCCCACAGTGAGTACTGGACAAATGCGAGAGCGGGAGCTGGGGGCGAGGCGGGCAGGGCAGGGTCCCTCTCCACCCCCGGGGGAGCACAGGGGCACACCTTGGACGGGGCTGGGGTCCCGTACCTTTGCCGCGGGGCCCCGAGCTGCCGGCGCTGCTGCTCCCCCCGGCGCAGGACGAGTCCTTCCTGAGCCTCTTGCTCTGCGGCCTCACGCTGGACCTGAGGAAGTGGTGCTGGTCCTGGGGGCAGGCGGGCGGCGGGGACGGGGCCTGCGGGCCGCCCGAGGGGGCCGGGGGCCCGTCGCCGCCGTCCCGGGGGGTCTTGCCGTCCCTCTTTGTGCCGCCGCTCTCCTCGGCCGCGTCCCCGCCGCCGGCGCCCTCTCCTTCCAGCGCGTCCTCATCGGCCGACCTCTTGCCCAGCCTCTTGAGCCCTTCCTCCCCGCTGCCGCCGTCTCCCAACTTCACTGTCATCCTGGCGGGGAGGGGGGCGAGGGGACCCTCGTGAGGCGCGCGGCCCGGCAGCCTGCCGGAGAAGTTTAGCCGCCCCGATTCCCTCTCAACATGGCCGCCGTTGTTTGTTCCAGATCCCCTCCCGGCGGCCCGCCCGCCCGCCCGCCCGAGCCCCAGCCCGACCGGGGCCCGAGCCCGCCGCCCCGCCCGACCCCGGCCCGGACCCCCGCGCGCCCGCCCGCTGCCCAGGAAACGGCGGCCGGGGCGGCGCGGAGGCGGCGGGGCGGCAGCTCGGCGGCCGCGCCCGGACGGCCCTGCCCGCGCGGCGCCCCAGCCCGGCGGGGTCGGCTAGGGGGCCGGGGCCGGGCCCCCGGGGCGCTGGGGTCCCAGGGGCCGGGCCCCGAGCACCTACCCGGCGGGCCCGCGGCTCATGGCCTGCGCGGCGGGCAGGCTGCGCGCCGGCCTCGCTCCTCGCGCTGCCTGGGCCGGCCGGGCCTCGACGCCCGCGCCCCCCGACCCCACCCCTTCCCGCCCCCCAAAACGCGCGGGGCTCTGGGCCCGCGCACCTGCCCCGCACGCTGGCCCCCAAAGTTGGCCCCGGAGTGGGGGCGACCGGCCCAGATCGACCCTGGCAGGGGAGAGGCGCGGGCTCGCCTGCGTGCACAGGGAACTCCATGGTGGCCCGCGGCTGCCTGTCCGCCTGCTTATTTTAAAACACACATAAAGAATAATAAGCTCGGGGTTTCTGGGAATCTTGCTGCCCAGGGTGGGAGATGTGTGAGGCTGCCGGGATTTACGAATTAAAAAAAAAATGCTTTTGCAACAAAGGAGCCTGTTGCATAGAACAGCTCACAGCCACCCGTGAAAGTGACAGCACAGTAATGCCCAGGTCCAAATGCAAGAATGAAGAGAACTGTATTAAAATTCTTGGTAACCATTCACAAAATTCTTGCATTAACTTTGTTACCCACTGCTGTGTGAAATGTCAACAACAAAATGTGATGACTCTCAAAATGTTTGCAGCCCAGAAAACAGATCCACTCAAAAATAAACTAAGCGAATCAGGTATATATGAACAATATAATTCCAGAAATGGTCAATAATGTGTACATGAGATGAAACAAGAAAGAGAAACGTTAGATTCCTCAACAGGTGTTGATACCGTGCCCAAACTGTGTTTGACACGCTCATCACAACTGCTGAAGACCGGAACGTTTCCATCTAAAAGGAAAACCAGAGCAAGGCATCGAGGCTAACAATGAAATACAGTAACATGGGCAAGGACCTCTCACGAAAAGGTTTGGAAATGAGTACAAATCATAGTAATACCTACTACTGCTCTGGTGTAATGTGTCACAGAATCATCTGTAACAGTTTTCATCTGTTGGAACTGATCTTATAAATCATTTAAATTCGTGCTAGTTAAAAGAAAAAAAAAAAGGTCCTGCCAAAGAATAGAACTATACAAGCCAAATATCCAAACTTAAAGGACTTCATTGCACAGGGCTTCTCACTACTCATTTCTCAACCTATCCATTTCTACTTAAGAAGCCCAAAAACATCCCAAAGGGCTTTTTTCTGGGTTATAATCTGGAGAACCCTACTTCCCAGGGGTCTATCACTGCAAAGCTATCCACAGTCAACCCAGGACCCAGGCAAAGCATACATCAGCCAGAGCAGATTAAACCTGCCCTTTTGCCAGGTTGAATATAGGAAGACACTGAACTGAGCACAGAAGGACACAGCTTTTTCAGAATTAAAAGGGTATTGACACATTTCAGAGTTTTCTCCTAAGACAAAAGGAAAACACAGGGATGCAATTCTTTTACTGAAAACCTCCAACGTTACTTCCTGACCGTCCACTGAGACGGAATCGCCTCAAACTCAATCCTGGCTGGACACGGTTTGTCACGTTTCGGAAAGAGAAAAGCAAAACCCTCCCTCCTGGGCTGATTTTTGGCTGCAAAGAGCGCTGTCAACGCAACACTTCTCGGTCCCGGCTCCCCCGAGCCGCCCCAACGAAGCACCGCAGGCGTAAACACCGCCGCGAGGGCGCAGGCCGCTTCTCCCACAGCCTGCCTCCGGCTGCGAGCCGGACCTCGCCGTGACAGCCGATCCCGGCGGCCCACCCCTCCCGAGCCCCAGCCTCCGGTCACCTTTTTCATCAACGCCTCGCTGCAGCCTGGCTTCCCGGGCCCCTCGGGGGCCTCCCGGGCGCCCGCAGAACCGGCCGGGCCGGACAGTCCCAGCCCCCGAGCGCCGGCTGCAGAGAGGCCGCGACGCCGGTGTGATCCTCCCGCTTCGGAAGCGTTTGCCGAGCGGCGTTCGCCCCGGCACGTCCCCTCCGCGGCCGCCGTACGACTGACGAGGCTGCCGGCGCCGGTACTGCCGCCGCTCAGCCTCCCGGAGGCCCGGTCCGCCGCGTTCAGCAGCAGTTCCGGCTACGGCGGCCGGCGGAGACGGCGGGGACGACGCGCGGGGCGGGGCCGGGGCGGCGGGCGCGCGGGCCGGGGCGGGGCGACGCGCGCGGGGACGAGCACGCTCTAGGTTTCCAGCGGGCGCGCCCCCCTACGGGCGCTCCTATTGGCCAGCAGCGGGCGCGCTCGCTTGCACGCACGGACGCGGGGCGGGGACGAGGGGCGGGCCTGCTATGCAGGTCATGTTGTGACGCCGGCCTCGCGGCCGTGCGGGCCTGTGCGTCTCTCCGGATTGGCGGATCGACAGCCAATAGAATCAGCGCCCGGGCTGTGATTGGCCGGGGTCGTGTTGACGGATGCGTGAGAAGAAAACGCCGCCTCAGTTCCGAGTCTTGAATCGGCGCGAAGCGGGTTTTTACCGAGAAAGTGTAAAAGTGCAACTGAGGCAGATAAACACACCCTTTATTGGATTGAGCGTGTGCTTTTGAAGTTCTTTAGCGTAGCACATGATACTAGGCACTTAGGTCATTTTTCTTCGTTATGGCGATAAAAGAGTGTTTTTAAAATTCTAGTATTTATGGCGGGGGTGTTTAAGTGTACAAACTTGTAAGGAGTAGTAAATAAGCCATAGAGATCCAACGCACAGTATAATGAGTATAGACAATAATAGTGTACTGTAATTATGTAATGTGATAAATATCGCCTCATAGGCAATATTACATTAATGTATCAAAATCCAACGCTGTATAACCTTAATGTTACATATTCAATTTATTCCATTAAAAACATTCTAGTGTTTATGAAAATTGGGTTTTTAAAAACAGAATCGTCTTTGTACATCTGTGATCCCGTCCGATCCAGTAGCATCTACATTTTCCTCTTTTATTTTCTCATTTGTTTAACTGTGGACCTTTTTGTTGATTTTTGCTATAATAACTATTTTTTTTTATGACATGACATTGGCTTGTTTTTCAAAGTTAGTTTAACCACAGCTGACGTTAGGCCAGGCAGAGGGCACGCTGTAATGCCTTTGGGAATGCAGTCTGCTGCCACGAACCAGGTTGGTTTCCAGCCTGCATCGCTGGCTACCATTTTCTCGCCGAAGGCGTCCATATGGTCCCTCAAGCATTGCACGCATGTCGTAAGTTACCTAATAACTTCAAGGAACTATGTCGAACCAATTGGCTTTTCTTCAAAATACTCTTGAACAACATCCTCCTCCTAGAGACCAAACAGAGCGGAGCCCAGCACACGGTGGGGTCCAGAAGACCCAGCAATAAGAGTTACCAGAGAGGAGGGAATCTTAAAGAAGATGGCGTTCCGTTTCTCCCCCGCAGTCTCTCTGCTGCCTCCTCCACCTCCCGATTGACCTACGTGGTTGGAAAGATGTAACTACAGGACCGAGTCCCAGCAGGCTTTGCATCCCCATCACATCTGGAAGAGTTTCACCAGCTTCTTTTCTCTGCCTTGGCCTCTCGTGCCCCTTTCCGAACTAGCGTTGTAGATGCTAGACTGCGGGGGCGAGGGGGAGAAACTGCCCCGGCCGGGACCCGCGGGGAGAATCCTGCACTCGGCGCCGCACGAACATCCCCGATCGTCTTCGGCTCTTTCCGGCCTCTCGGGGCGCTTCGGGCGGCCTCGGCGTCCGCGTCGCTCACCTTCGGCTGTTTCCGCGTTCCGCTCACAGCCGTTGTCCCGGCAACGCGCGACGGCGCTGCGACCCGACCCAGGTGAGTGCGGTCAGGGGGCGAGGGCCGCCGGGGGTCGGGAGCCCCCAGAGGACCCGCGGTGGGTGTCCGGGGCCCAGGAGCCGGGGAGGAGGGCGACGACGAGGGGAGCCGGGGAGGGGCTCCAGGGGGCCGCAGCGGCTCCGGGGGCCTGGGGCCAGGCGGAGGGCGACGACGCTGCGGGCCGGTCCCCGTCCCGCGCCCTCCCGGGTCATTTGCGTCCGGAAATCCGGCCTGGGCCGAGCGCCCGCGGCTCCTCTCGACCCAGGTCGAGGCTGGGGGTGCTGGGCGCGGCGTGGAGCGGTCAGCGCGAGATGATGGCACTTCGGGCGCAGTCCAGGTCCCGTGGAGGACCGCGTGGCCGTGCGAGTCCCGGGACGCGGGCAGAGCTCCCGGTGACAGCGGGCCGGGGAGAGAGTGAGAAAACCGCCGTTCTACGCTGCCGGTCCCAGGCCCCAGGGAGCCGCACCGTCCCAAACCGGCGGATAACTTCCTTCGTGTCCGCGAGGTGCACCTATGACCCTGCACTGCCCGACGCCCGGGGGCCGTCACCTAGAGGGAGAGGCTTCGCAGGGTGGCCACTAGAGCCTGTCCCCCACGCCCCTGCTCAGCCCCTATTGCCCAGAGTCCTCTGGTTCCCTCATACAGCATCTGCAAGCAGTGATGCAACTAAATTAGCCTTAGTACTGCGACCCTTTAATTGAATGAGCTTAACAGATTCTCTCCCAAAAGTTGGTTTGATGGAGGCCATAAAGACATTGGACGCCTGGAGGTGAGAGAAGCAAATCACTTAGAACAAATGGAGTTTTTTTGTGTGTTTTCCCCAAAGTTTATACCTTTGCCGAATGGGTCTACATTCTAGAGACCCTGAGTTTGTTTTAAGGAAAGCAAGTGCCCTTGTTTCTGACCTGATGCCATTCATTGATGTCATTAGATAATGATTTTCTTGTTAGTCAGCTGTCCACCTTGTGTTTATTTTGGTAACTTTTCTTTTATAATTATGCAGATAATACTTATTCATTGTAGAAGAATGTTAAAGTGCAGGTGAAAGGGGTGATGACCAACCATACACAGTATAAAAATGGATTCGTTCACCCTGGCCTGTAACCCGCTTTTCACAACAAATCGTCAAGAACAGCTTTCCTGGCTAATAAATGTCTTCATCAGGGATTCACATATCGGAGGCCTGTTCTGTGCAAGGCACTGTTCTAGGGGATGCCTCGGGGGGTTCCCACCCTGTGGGATAAATAATCTGGTAGGGAGTGGAGGATGGTCATCAAACACACGTTTACAGTACAGTGTAAATGCAGCCATGTGGAGAAGAACAGGGTTCTATGGGGACACTGGGCAGAGGCACAGAAAACCTAAAAGTCGAGTCTGTGAGCTCCCTGGAGGACAGGAGGCTTCCTGGGAGCCCAAAGGAGGGGTGGGGGAGAGCCTCTGGGAAAGCTTCAGGCAGGAAAAAAGAAACGTGAAGATCTGTTAATATACATGCTTATTGCGAAGTGATGTCTGAAAAGAAAATGCAAAGGAAATCAGGGCTACCTTTTTCAGTGCTGCTGTTACTTCTGTCTCCATCATTACGACAAAATTAACGTTACTCATTTTTCAGAGGAATATTTTCACAAAGTTAACCAATTAAATATGAATATGAGTTTCCCATAGGCCAGAATTTAGACCCCTGATGGGCTGCAACACGTTAAAACTCACTTTAAAAGGTTTCCTTCGCTATATTAAATTGCCCGGGTTTTTATCTGGCGTGTTTTCATTTTCAGTGGCTTTGTTCGAAGGTTTGCATAAGGACTTTACTCAAAGAAGTTGGAGCCCTGACCTGTGGAGATGTAGTAGTGTGTGTGCAGGGGGCCCCTGGATCAGCCCCTTCCCCCGACGCTTGTCCCCCCACCCCTGAATAGGTGCTCTTCAGTTTGTGATGGTGAGAGCACAGCCTTGAAAACCGTGCCTTTATCTAGTATTCAGGGTATATATTCATAAGGAAAAGGTAAACATTTGAAATGTGACTGTTCGTTTGTACCCGTGTACCTTCCAGCTACTCACTGCGTGGGGTTTCCTTCTTTTTTTTTTTTTCCCTGCTTTTTCTCCCCAAGTCCCCCCAGTACATAGTTGCATATTTTTTTAGTTGTGAGTCCTTCTAGCTGTGGCATGTGAGATGCCACCTCAACATGGCCTAAAGAGCGGTGCCATGTCTGTGCCCAGGATCCGAACCCGGGAAACTGCAGGCTGCCAAAGCAGAAGGTGCAAACTTTACCACTCGGCCACGGGGCCGGCCCCCCGGAGTTTGCTTCCCTAGATCCAGAGTGAGCCTTTGTGGCTTCCACTGACGTAACTGTTGTATTGCTAAAAGCAAACAGCATAATCCCTTCCCTACTCTAGTGATAGAATTTTGCAAGTGTTGAATAATTCTTTTGCACAGTTTTTTTTGCTGCTGTTAAATATACGTAATATAAAAATTTACCATTTTAGGGGCCACATTTTATTTATTCATTCATCCATCAATAGACATTTGGGTTGTTTCCACCTTTTGGCTACTGTGAATAATACTACTATGAATATTGGTGTGCAGATATCTGTTCAAGTCCCTGCTTTCTTTTTTTTTTTTGAGGAAGATTAGCCCTAAGCTAACATCTGCCGCCAATCCTCTTTTTGCTGAGGAAAATTGGCCCTGAGCTGACATCTGTGCCCATCATCCTCTATTCTATATGTGGGATGCCTGCCACAGCATGGCTTGATAAGTGCTGCGTAGGTCCATGCCCAGGATCGCAACCGGCAAATCCCGGGTCATCAAAGCGGAGTGCGTGGGCTTAACTGCTCCACAACTGGTCCAGCCCCTTCAGCCCCTGCTTCAGTTCTTCTGGGTAAACACCCAGAACTGGAATCGCTGAATCATGTGGGAATTCTATGTTTAATATTTAAGGAACCACTATACTGTTTTCCACGGCATCTGCACCCGTTTACACTTCTACCAGCAATGCACAAGAGTTCCAATTTCTCCACATCCTGACCAACACCTTTTATTTTCTATTTTTCTGATGATAGCCATCTTAATAGGTATGAAGTTGAATAATTTTAAATGATAGCAAACCACCCCACAAGTATTCTCTTCTCTGCCAGTTAGCTTCCCCAACCTGACTCTAGGGTACGCGTAAGACTGTCGTTTCGTTCACCATACTTCCCTGTCTGCAAAAGGACAAATGCGTGTCTTTTCCAGGAATGGAAGGTGTGAAGTTCCTGTAACTAGCCAAGTTCAGTTCTCCGCGGTTGCTGAGCTGTGTTTTCTTGACTCTGACAAAGGAGGCCTTCTCGCCTCCACTGCCTGGGAGTGGGAGGGAGCAGACAGCTTTGGCTGTCATGCGTGACCAGAAATCGGGGCCTAGGTTTTTCCGTACATTGCTCTTTTGTAAAGCAGATTGCTTTTATTTGGTTTGAAAATTTTGCTTAAAGGAGAGCCATAGAAATCTAAATTGTCCTTATTATGATTGGAGTAGAAATGATGGTGGATTACACCTGTAGTCTAGGCCACAGGACTTTTCTTTGTTGTTCAGATGGCACTAAGGTTTATTCTTTTTCATCGCACGCTGGATCGTTCCACGTCTAACCCCTTGCTTCTAATCCTGTGTTTTCCCTGTTGGAGATCTCTTCTGCATACAATTGCCTGCATCTGTCTGAAGGGTCTTTTCTAGGTTGCTGAATGTCTTATGCTTGTAGGTTTGTGATGCTTCTCTCTCCTAATTCTATAGACAGTCATTTTGTTTGTTTTGTTCAAAACCAAGAGAACTTGGTTGTTTTTTTCCCTGCAGGTTTCGACCCTGACCAGCTCTGAGGTCCATCATGGCCCTCTATTTTGACCACCGAATAGAAGCCCCAGACTCAGTCGGGTCTCCTTCCCACATCAGCTGGCACCCTGTTCATCCATTCCTAGTGGTCGCCTCCATCAGCACAACCTCAGGAGGCAGTGTGGATATATATCTGGAACAGGTGAGTGCTAGGAAGCAACAGCTTGGACTTCAGTAGCTTCTGGCTCTTGTCCCTCTTTAGTTCCTCTGTGTGTGTGTGTGTGTGTGTGTGTGTGTGTGTGTGTGAGTTCTCGCCAAGGTCTATATTCCCAATATCATAAAAACCTTATGTGGATAATTCTTTTACCTCTGCTATCTAGGTTTGGGGACATATTGAGGAATGCTTAAGACAGATTCCACAATCCACTCACAGTCACCAACCAGAAATGACCCCTCAGCATTGTCTGTCCACCCTGACCCAGTCTCCTCTTGGCTCATGTTGGCCGTTTGAAACCATTACATTCATGCACCACATTACGACGTTTCAGTCAACGACACACCACATAGACAATGGTGGGCCCATTGGATTATATAGTGCCATATAGCCTAGGTGTGTGTAGTAGGCTGTGCCATCTTGGTTTGTGTAAGTACACTCATGATGTTTGCATGACAATGAAATTGCCTAATGATGCATTTCTCAGAACATATCTCCATCGTTAAGTGACGTGTGACTGTAGTTTCCTGTAGCCCTTGTAACAAAGGCCGGCAATTGCGTGGCTTAAAACAACAGAAGTTTATTCTTTCACAGTTCTGGAGGCCGGGGGTCTGAAAAGAGGGGCTGGCAGGGCCTCGTCCTCTCTGGAGGCTCTAAGGGAGGGCCTGTCTGTGCTTTGTCTCAGCCTCTGGCGATGCCAGCAGTCCTCAGTGTTCCTTGGCTTGTACCTACGTCACCCCTATTTCCCCCTCTGTCATCATACAGCCGTCTCTTCTGTGTGTCTGTATGTCTTTCCTCTTCTTATAAGGACACAGTCGTATTGGGTTAGGGTCACCCTAATGGCCTCATCTAAACTTGATCGTCCACAAAGACCCTATTTTCGAGTAAAGTCATATCGCAGGTACCAGGGGTTAAGACTTCAACATATTTTTGGGGGGTGCACAATTCAATCCATAACAGAAAGTTTCTAGAACCTCCTTAAACTTCCAATGCACCCCCTCCCATCCTCAGTGCACTGTGTACCTCATACTTCACAGAGAAGATTGGGTTTCCCTTCCTGCTCACTCCTCAACTCTCTGCAGTCTTGCTGTCACCCCTGTAACTCCACCCAGCAGCTTGAGTCACCAGTGATGTCGGCATAGCACGCTCTGCGTGCTTATCCACATCCCGTCTGCACACCGTTCCACACTTTTGTAAAGTCCTCCAGGAAACACACCGTGGAGCGCAGGGGGCTTTGCTCCACCCTGCCTCCTTCACCCAGCCTCCTCGGGGGCCTTGCCCGCCTTCCTCCTCTTCCAAACCGATAGCAGGGTCCCCCTGCTACTGGCGTGCTACAGCGCTCGTCTGGGCCTCTTCTCCCTCTGCTTCCTCCCCCTCCCGTGGCCTCATTACCGTCTGTCAATGGATGACTCACAAACTTACATCTCCAGC